GGCACAAGGGGTCTGTTCCGTGGAGAGACATTTTTCCGCAGACCAGAGGGGGCGTGATTTTGTGTGCTGCCTTCATCCTGTGTATGGTGCTTCGCTTGTTTGCGCGGCCCGGTTTCTGGCATGCGAGGGAACTGTGCTGCTCCATGGAGTGGGGGTTGGGGGACTGCTGTCATACATATCAGCATTTGCGATCTAAACATAATAAAGTGTATTGTTGGTGGTTTGTTCTGCAAGCTTGCTGCTTGGCTTCCGAACGTTTTGTCACCAGGCTAGATAACATTATCGGCAGAACTTCGGTTGAAGCGTCCTGATTTAACAGCAACAAACCACCAACCACATCTGCCTCCTGAGCTACAAATCTTTTCCATCATCTCTAAATGTATTGGATTTCTAGCCTACGTATTATACCCATGGCTTGGGACAATTGTAACCCTCCTACTATACGGCCATTCTGTGCTGTAAGAGGCCTGGGGGCAGATGCCATGACAAATATTACTAAAGTATAAAATATAAGTTGAAATAATGAGGAAATGAAAAAGGGTGCATTTGTTCACGTACGGTGGAGAACAGTAACGCTGTTTTTATAAAAGAGACAGATTGGGGTGGGGTGGGGTATTGTTATGTATCCATAAAAGAAAACAAGCCACTGGCTGTAAATTCCTGGTTATCAGATGCGCACGTGCTCATGTGCTGGGGTGACTATCACAGCCTGAACAGCCTTGTGTGCAATGCGGCAGAAACGGAGATTAGCTTGTTTTATTTATTTTATTTGTATTAACTTTCCAAATGAGCTTAATGCTAATCTGGAGTCCATAGAACATGAACTGAACTGCACTATTAGCAAAGAAGTAGAGTTGCAGTTGTGTCATGGGAGCACAAGGCTACTTATTGCACACTCCCCCGGGGCCGTAAATTTAATCCAGGTTCATTTAGTTTCATTTAGTGTCCGTTCAAAGTTACGTCATTGAAAAAAAGTGATTTATGACCATTTTTCAGTTATCACCTTTGTAGCATCCCCATGATCACGTGATAAAAATTCAGATGCTTGGCAACTGGTTCGTACTTATGACCATTGCTGTGCCCCAAGGTCATGTGATCCCCGTTTGCAACCTTTTGACAAAGTCAACAGGGAAGCCCTATTCACTTAACAACCATGTCACTAACTTAACAACTGGAGTGAGTCATTTAACACCTAAACTGTGGCAAGGAAGGTTGTAAAATAGGGCAACACTCACTGAACAAATGTCTCATTTAACAACGGACATTTTGGGCTCCATTGTGATCATACGTTGAGGACAACTTGTACTACCTTTCCCTATGAATTCGTATTGAATTTTTGGTGAAGACAGCTGTGGTCCACATAGATTTAGGCCTAAAATAAGAGAGCCCTACCTAATTAATTGGCTGTTTTTGCCCAGAGCAGGAATTCTGAAATGAACAACTTGTACATGAATTAGAATTGATACCAGCCTCTTCTTTTATTAGAGAATGACAGCTCTTGGCTTACTATTAAACCTGGATGTTAAATAAAGATGGATTGTTTATAGCAGATCATGTTAAATCTAGGCTCATCATCTGATGGCAGAGATGCCTACTGAGTAAGCTGCTTACTTGCACCTCTTTGTGTGAGGATCTATCCGATGTATTAAGTACTTAACTTCAATCCTGGGCAAGGGAATTATGCCACGTGGCTTACTAATTTGGAGGCATAATACTCAGTTTTAACTATGGCACAATAACATTCCTTTGTTTTTAAATTACAAATTGACCAGCTTATTATGAAATGCATGGTGCCTACCCACCACACAGCAGTTCTAGCTTTAATATATCCCTGACAGAAAATTCAGGCTATGTCCACCAAGTACATTCTCTAGAATATTCTTCCTGTCCATTATTAAACTATTTTAATAAACTATTAAATCAAATCTAACTCTTCTCCCTCAAATGTCTCTCACCTAATAATGCCCCCAAATGCATTGAGCATCTGTGCCAAAAGCCAGCTAATGAATACAGGTCTCACAGGGGTATTTTTGTGATTCTTTTGGGGAGTTATAGCTTGAGGTTCATTTACCTTCTTGCACCCAAATGTATGAGAACCAGCTATGAACACTGAATTGAATCCATAATTGAGTTGTGATAACATTTGATACACAGAAAGAAGCAACAAATGGATCTCAATGCTTCTTTGGTATTTAGGACCAGGTAGTGCCATGCTTTAAAAGGGCAACATACAAAGCTTTGGAATTCAGCATAAATATACCTATGTATATTTATATATTGCTATGTTTCAGCTGCATATTAGGCATCTTTCTTGGCACACAAGACATTTTTAAACCTGTACTTGAAATATATTTGTCAGTAAGTCATAAGCAAATGATGTTAACTGAACATGTTATTAACACCTCAAAGGGAAAGTTCATGAGAAGTGTTACTATCGCTTTGTACTGCTTTGGTAAGACATTTGGAATATTGTCTCCAGCTTTGGTCACGATACAAAAATATATCTGCGATCTAGACAGAGTGTAGAGAAGAACGACGATGATAATTAGAGGAATGGAGGCTAAAACATGATGAACAATTGCAGGAACTAGCAATACCGAAGAGAAGGACTAGGGTGTCAAGATAGCAGTCTTCCAATATTTGAGAGGCTGTCACAGAGAATTTGGCATCTATTCTCCAAGATTCGGAGGGGAACCACAAGAAGCAAACTATCAAGGAGAGATCCAACAAAGAACTAAGAAGAAAATTCCTGATAATGAGAACAATTAACTCAGTGAAACTGTTTCCCTCCAAAAGTTGTGGGTGCTCCTTCACTGGAAGTTTTCAAGAAGAGAGCCATTTATCCAGAATGGTATAGGACAGGGGCTGCTCCTTGAGCAGGGGGTGGGACTAACAAACCTCGCAAGGTCCCTTCCACATCTGTTATTCTGCATAACTTTTGCCTTTAAACTGTGTACACTAAGAATGCCAGCAATAAAGCTCCCCCTGCTGGATATTTACCGTTTCCCCAAAAATAAGACCTCCCCTGATAATAAGCCCAATTGGGCTTTTGAGCACATGCTCTAAAACAAGCCCTCCCCTGAAAATAAGTCCTCCCAGAAAATACCGCAACACAGCAGCAGCCATGAGGTGACCACAGTCACTATCACCTGCACCTCAAAAATAATAAGACCTCCCTGAAAATAAGGCCAAGTGATTATTTCGGGGTTCAAAAGAAAATAAGACCCTGTCTTATTTTGGGGAAAACACGGTAAGAAACATTATGTTTACAGATTTGATTTCAGTATTTTGGCAAAAACAAAGGAACAATATTGGAGAGGCTCCTCTATCAACACCTGGAGAGTAAAACTGATCTTGTTATCCTTGATAACCAAGCCAAGATAGGGCCTTGAATAGATGTGGACACACCAATGCAGGCTATATATATGTAGTATACAAAATGGCATGGGGTGGATCCATGGTTTATTGCAGATCTGCAAACATGATCTTTTCTGCAGTTACATGATGAACATGCAAACCATCTGGCCTCACAAGGTAAATTCAACCACTTTGTTGCAATAGCTTCCACAAATTCCTGAGACATCTAATTTGCCATAACTGTTTATTAAAGGAATGGCCAATTGTATCAACAGATATCTTGAGTCTACTAAAGAAAAACTCAAAACAGGTTGCTTTAAAAATACTTTAATTTTTAGAAAATACAGCATTCAAAACAGTATGCCCTGCCTCCCCCATAATTTCCAAATTTACATCATCGTATAGCCCAGTCAGGAATGTGCATCTCCCAAACTCCAAACCTTGATTCTTATGGAAGATTTGATAAGTTACTAGCATGGATACAGAAGCAATCACTCCTAGCTTGCTTTTCATCTGCAGCGAGTTAACTGTAATGGCCAATGAAAACTACTTACAGTGTTAACCATGTAGTCAATTAGACATTCTTTTAGTGTGCTAGAGATGTCAGTGTAAAACTACTGTCATTTCAGTTGTGTGCACACAGGAAGGAATATAGTTGTTAGAGTATTAGCAAGGTCTTACTGTAAACATATAATTCTTGAAAAATTATTTTGGGACTCCTACAAAACTTTATTTCTATAACGAGATGTATGCTCTTGCAATCGCTCAACGTTTTGTAGTATTAGTCAGATCTAATAAATGTTTTGATTAAGTGTTCATCCTGGATATAAATAGCAAGATACATTCTGATCCAAGCTAACTGGTTCAGAGACTATTCCAGGATGGGGAGTCGTTTCTACTTTTTTTTTGTGGAACTTTTTTGCTACTTGCCAAGTGTGTTGATGGTAAAGTTTGTAAGATCACATAACTGCAAGGAAAACAAAGTTCTGGAGTCTAGCTGAGTATTGAGTCTCCCTATCCTGGAATTAGTCTCTTATTTGTTAGCTTGGAGCATAAAATAGGACAAGGGTGGGGGAAGAGTCGGTTTTGATAGAGTAGACCAGGGTTCCCAAACTTGGCAACTTTAAGGCGTATGGACTTCAACTCCCAGAATTCTCCAGTCAGCATAGCTGGCTGGAGAATTCTGGGAGTTGAAGTCCACAAGTCTTAAAGTTGCCAAGTTTGAAGACCTCTAGAGTAGACAGAGCACTATGATTCACACACTGCATAACTGATTTTATTGGTCTGCCAGTCAACAAATAAGAAAAGGGATTCACACACAATATGAATACGCATATGGCAGCAGCTACTAAGATCAGACAGACAGCTGAGAAGCAGCTCTTTGCAAGGCTGAGTGACTCCCTTGTTTCATTGTGAAGGGAAAAAGGCAGGTTGTGGAGGGTCAGCTTGAGAAGCAGGCTGTTTGCCTTCTTTCCTTCACAGACGTTCTGACTGGTCCTCATTTACCACTGATCATGTCTTTGAGAGTACTGACTGATCCACCATCATTGCACAGTGATATTTGGCAATAATACCACAAAGGAATCGTTTCAGACTAATTTGATGGGAGTAAAAGATGTAAAACAAAGGCAGGGCTTGAGTGCTTACTTTTCTGCCTCATTTGTTGGAATCACATGGATTAATTAATGCAATTAGTGAAAAACGAGGAAAATGCCAACAGTAGTCATCCAAGTATGCTTAATATCTCATCAAGAACCCATGGAAATATGAGTTCCGGATCAGAGTAATAGCTGTTATCAGTATTGGAATGGCAAATATTTGTTCTTCTGCATCAAAATATAATAGGGAACAAAAATGATAATAATCTGCCTCTTATTGGTGAGGAGAATGGAACAAAACACGCAGGACAAATCTAACCTAAAATATAACATTTGCCTGGGAAAATAAATCATATTATTACAAGAGTGTAGCACTCTCAACAAAAACTTAAAATGAAAGTAGTAAAGCTATCTTTGCATATATGATGCAGAAACTGCAGAGGTCCAAATCCAAATATTACAGAATATCATATCTCTAGATTTAGCTGAACTGATTGAGATTTGGTCACAGTAAAAATAAAGTATTTAAAGATATTATTGTGCCAAAGATCAGCAATGTAGATAGAGCCTTCAAAATGTCCAAAGAACCACCCATCTTTTTTTAAAAAAAAAAATTGAAATGTTGTGCACTGACCAGTGTTATGCTTAGATTTTGTATTTTAGTTGCTGATCACTGCATATGCCTGTTAAAAACAGAATCTTGCTGTTTGAACATGTTTTAGGACAAAATTTAAATTTAATTATTACCTTAGAATCATATACTGGATGCAAGATCTGTTTATTTCTAAGCACTACATTATTATAAAGACATCTGTCCCAAGGGATGCCAATAAACCTAAGATGCAAAAGATGAACAGTTAAAAAAAATCAGGAAAAATTAAGATTTAGACTTTCCCCCATCCATGAAATGATGGTGCATACCACCACTTCCATCATAGACATTTTCATCTGGATTCCTGTAGTGAGTAGGGGATTGGAAATGAAGGCCTAAATTTTGTCCTATTTTTGAGAATCTATGATTTTTTTCCAGTTTTTTATTTTTAGAATCTGTGATTCTATTTTTCCCCCATACAGAATATTTGGAATTTGGCAAAACCTACTCTTTCTTTCTTAAATTGCAGATCAGTCCCACTGGGGAAAGAATGACCCAGAGCACATCCAGGCTTGCTCTTACACAAATACTACTCCACTCAGGCCCACCATACTAATACCATACGATTGGCTATGTAAAAAATAAAAAAGCTTGTAATTTCAGAGTTTGTTTGCATGAGATATAAAAGCAGACCAATAAATTGCTCCTTGGGGTCATAGGAACTTTCATTATGTATATCGAATTCACCTGCCCTAATGGTTTTTCATAACCTCCCAGTCCACAATTGTGTTTTGAGTTTTTTGTGAGTAGATCACAGGCTGCTTCTCCTTTAGACGTTCAAAGCTGATCATCAAGACTCTTCCCAGACTCCTTGGCAGTTAAAATGCCCGTCCATCATGTACACGGCTAACAATTTCATGCTATGGGCTATCCTTTCCTTCCACCTGGTTTTCATGGATCTAAAACAATTAGTCTTGGCAGACAGTATCCAACACATGGAATGAACATCCTCTGGGCAAAGTACATTCTGTGAAAGACAGAGCCCATCCGCATTCAGTGACCAATGAAAGGGCTAATGCTCCTTTGGCCTGGCAAAGCTCTATCACATAACTAAAGAGCTATGACAAGGGGATGCATTGGTTGCGTGTCATGATCTAGGATGAGGACAAACAATTGAGTAAATATGAGAAGACCAAGGACCAAGCGACTTTACTTTAGATGCCAAGCATGGATGGGTGAAAAAACTCCCCAACAAAACAGATCAGGAAGGAATCTACTTTCTCAGTTAAGTCAGAAGATGATCTCAGTTAAATCAATGCTGTGTTAGGCTGCAAGCTAGCACACGTGGAAAATGTGACCTGGGGAAGCATTCGAGAGCTACCCGTGAGGTGATTCTTGCCATCTTGATGTAGTTAAGTGAAAACGATGCCAATAAGGGCAGGATAACAATTATGCTCCCAGTTCCTAACCATCCACGTGTCTATCCCAGGCTGTGACATCACACAACGAGCCATCATGACATAAGGCAGGGAAGAAAGAAAGGCAGTATAATTAGCTTTCTGCAGATCAGAAAGGAAGCAGAGCATCTTTTAAGAGAAATCCAACCCATCACTGGATTTGTGATGGAGATTTCCCCTCACAAACAGTAAGGCCTAGAATGGGATTATCAGGACTCTTGAACAAAATGAGTGTTTTACTTCTTCAGTAGCTTGGGAAACAAAGAGTTTCTTAAAACCCAAACAACGCACCTCTATTTTGGAGGAGATCTGTTTCTTTTAGCACTACCCCCATCCCTTCAACTCCACCCTACCTCAAAAACAATCCATGGAACATACTGCTATTTGCCTTAACCAATAGGCAACTGACCACTGCATCAAATATTAGGGAAACAGACTCCCTTGGTAAGGGAATGGCTTTGACAGGATAGAGTGCCACTAAGTTATTGTTACCATACAAATGGTGCCTCTCTTTGATGGGGGGTCACAGCACCCAAGGTAGAAGTTTATAACTCTCTTAGATGAGAGGAAAACAAAACTCTTTTGAGTGGTGCAGATTCCAAGTAAAACAGGCCACAAGATGAAGCAATAACAGCATCTATTGTAAGAAATATTTTAAAAAAAACAAAGAACAAAAAGCCCTAGGGTACCCCTTCCCCCTAGATTTAAATCACCATAGAGCAAAAGGTAAGAAAAAAAGAGCATGCCGTCGTCTTCCTCTTCCTCTCTGTCCCCCGATTCCAACCCTCCCATCCTGTTAATGAAACCGATGGACATGACTTTGAGAAAAGAAGTAGGGAAAAGGCTCTGGAGTTCAGTGGACAGGCTCAAATGCAGAGAAGTGGATTTCCTTGGAGCTGCGATGCTGGAGGCTGACCCATCCTCTGGGTTTAACTGTCTTCTCCGTTCTCGCCTGGTCCTTTGATAAGTCGCTTCTGTCCCCTTTTGCCCACAGGACCTTTTGGCTTGGCAAAAGCCTGCTTGAAGGCATGCTGCTTGGGATGGACCTCATCATACAGGAACTCAGCAGTCAGCTCAGCTCCATCACCAATTTCAATCTGATACAAAAGAGAAAGGAAAAGTTTTAGATCTGACCACTGAGAACCTGAAATCCAACTGAGATTGGGAATTTCTTCCCAGGAATGGTATTCCATTATATTTCTCTTCCCCCATAGCTTTCCAGCTTCCACTCTGGTTCGCTCCACTCCTACTTCACAGGACCATTTCTAAATTTGTTTTGGTCTTATTTTCAGGACTTGAACGTTTCTTCTTCTCATTAGAGATGGGTTCACTAAAGTCTTATCTTACTTTTCATGTTGTCCATGGTATTAGGACACCTGTTTCTAGCATGTCCTTCCAAAAACCTCTAGTTGCTTCAATCTTCAGATCCCCGCATCACCCTCTTTCATACTGGTTAAAACACTAGATGCCTAGTTAGAATGGAAGAGAAATCATTTTCCTTCAAGATGCTTATGAATCCAGAGGACAAAGACTTACCTGTCAGGCTTGGAAGTCATCGGGGGATAAGGCCTCAAGCCTGCCACATATTCAAACATACACTATATTGCCAAAAGTATTCTTTTACCCATCCAAATAATCAGAATCAGGTGTTCCAATCACTTCCATGGCCACAGGTGTATAAAATCAAGTACCTAGGCATGCAGACTGTTTTTACAAACATTCGTGAAAGAATGGGT